AAAAAAAATAAAAATTCTCAAATTTTAATGGGCTATCTTTTACTTTTTTTTTTTATTTGCCATCGTGAGGTGAGTTCTTTTTTGCTATATCTTGAAACCTATACAAATTTATATTATTTTCATTCTCATATTTGTGATTAACCAGTTTCAACAATTAACAAGTTTCAAAATCATATTTTTGATATTTTACTACCTATAAACTTTTGGAAGAAATAGTTCCAACAATTAAGTGTATACTCTTTGGAAGAAGCTAACTACAAAGCTATTATAAATCTCCAGAACTAAGTATTGATTTGGCACAACCAATGGAGAAAATCAATAAATTATCTTACTAATATTTAAACTTATTAGGATACTTTTATATTTTGTCTAGTATTTACTTCAAGATATATATTTGATCAAGTTTATTTATATTTAAGAAGTAACATTTATAAAATATTTCTAAAATCTTCAAACATTTCTAAAACGTACCGGGCCAAATACAATTTATTTTTTTGCCAAATATAAACATCACACTTATAAAACATTTCTAAAATTCTTCAAATATTTCTAAAATATATCGGGCCAAATACAAAATATTTTTTTTCCATATACAAACATTTCTAAGATCTACAGATATATTAGGCCAGGGTCGCGCATTGCACGACCAGACATCACTAGTATATTAAAGGAAAGAAAGATAATCGACACGTGTCGTTAATTGAGACCATCAAGCATCACTTTTAACTTATTGTCATTGTAGCCCTTAAAGTTCTATTTATGTGCTACTTTGTCTTCAATTTTATCGATTTTACATTTTCAAGGACGATTAATTGTGTCTAATCCCCAAAGTCCCCTTGCCTATAAATAAGCCATAGGTATCTAGACATAATTTACGTATTTTTTAATATATTTTTTAATCCAAACATAACATTAGTTAGTGGTGACAATTTTTATTATACAACTTTTCAAAATTTTTGTTGTAATATTTTTGGCCAGATCTTACAAATATACATCTCATAAATAATATCAATACCTCTCATTTTGATCTAAAATTGATTAATCAAAAAAATTTTACGGTTTTAGGAAATATTAATAACTATATTATCTAATTAATTCTTTTGGAAGATAAATTTTCAACATTGATAAATCCGCGCAAAGCACGAAACACATACTAGTATACTTATAAAAGAACCTCTTCCAATTATATTCTAATATTTTGATTGGTTGAGAGACTCCCGATAACATCAGCGTTTTAAAAAGGAGTAAAATAGATAACAAATACACAAAAAAACACAACAACATTCCAAATCTTCAAAATTACAAATCACCCCCGAAAAAACAAAACACCGCGCTTCTGAATTCCCCCAAATCCAGAAATTCGGACCTTGAACTTGGTGCCCATCAGACTACAAAACTTCAACAACGCTATTTTACGTGAATTTCCCTTCCTCCGCCGCTTGGAACGGTTGGTGCCAGTCTCACTCAAATCAGGTTTTCCAATCGTTAATTTCACTTATGAGATCTGATTTTCTCTTGGCTGCATCTGATTATAGATCTTCGTTGATTTGATTTGTCAATTTTTATTTGCAGTGAGGATGAGAAGTCTGGATTCATGAACCGTTCTTTCCCCTCGTCGATGCCCTCTTTGCCGGAAACTTCACAGTCTTTGGCTTGGCGGTCTTCGCCGGAGCTTTCTTTGTGGGTGCCATCTTCGCAGCGGGATTTGCGGGTGCAACCTTCTTCCATGAGGTGCTCATCCTCGATGTCCGCGCTTGAAATTTTGGGAACAGGGATTGGGAAATTTTGTGGTGATGGCCGGATTTTATCTAATTCTATTGTATTCGTTAATTTCGTTGACGGATTCTATTAAGTATTTAACCCCTATAGAGTAGATTAATGTCTTTTTTAATTTTGGGGGTTTTTTTTTTCATGTGTCCGGCTTTGGAATTGGATTGATTCTCTTGTCCTGCAATATTGGTCCAAAAGTGTTTGATGCAGTTTTGTGGGTGGGAAAATTGAATGCAGGTATTGACTTCTTGGAATTCAAGCCGTCTGAAGTTACGGCAGCAGTGGCAATACTTGTTGCCTTGTTGCTGGAGAAACAACACAGGGTGTAGATACTGAGAAGGCACTGTCCTGTTTCATCCAAATAGAAAAGGTAGCAGTAATATCAGTGGTGCCCAATGTAAGGAAAATTAGATTCGACTACACTCTGAAACCAAATTTTTTGTTGCCTTGCCCATTGGTATGTTACCGGTTATGTTCAAATTTAAGCGCACATTGGATGTGTATTGTTTTGTTTGTGTGTGTTCAAATTTGCAGGAGAAAGTGATCAAGTGCCATAAACTGCTGCAAGGTTTGAGGTTAATTTATACAGCCTGCGGCACATACAGAATGTTGTTTTGATTTAGTTTTAGGGTGCCTTCATCGAGAAAGCCAATCTTTTGCTATACTTACCAAGGTCTCTGACCAAAATAGTGGGCTCTCTTAGAGGAGGTAGATTTTCTAGAGAGGAATTGGTGGAAGAAGGAAATAATGAAAATAGAATTTAACCTGATATTGGTGCGTGGCAGATTTATTACTCATTTACGCAGGAAAAGAATGCAGGGACAACTAATATTTTTGAGAAGTTAATAGAGTGAAGCAGATAAGCACCTTTTTGAGGGATGCCAGTTACTATTATCACGATTTCAATATGTAATAAAACTACATAGACATACAAGGATAATCCTTTTTGCCACAAACGTATTTTCCGTTACTTTCTGAGCACTTATGTGCTGTAAATTTTTTGGTTTCTACCCTATTCTTATTTACCTTTTGATTGGTGTTTTGTACTCATAAATATTGTCAATGAAAGAGTATTGACCTCATCGCGACTAAGAACTGAACGCCCGATAAAGAACGATCTAGTATCATAAAAAATTTATCTTCAGTTAAAAATATCATACACATTTACACATGAAAATACAAAAAGAGTAATTAATACTCTTTCATTTTTTTTTACATGTCTTTCTAGAGAAATCATCAAAACCAATAACACATTAATTAATATAGTTAAAATACAAAAATATACTTATTTATTGTCTATACAATTCATTACAAATCAATAGAAATGCATTATAAATACTGTTTCATTTCCAATGCAAGGATAATATTGGCAAAAAGTGGTTAAATATGCCCCGATTTGTGAAAATGACATATATTTAAAAAAATTCACCAAATTCTAAAACGATGTATATTTCAAAATAGAGGGAGTAATATGAAAAATTTACTATCTCTTCTACATCTCCGCCTCCGGCAACACCACCGTTAAATCGCATTCCACCTCCAAGTTAAGTGAACAACATCGTCAACACCTCCCCAAGTTAAATCCACCACTCATACCAGTCCCTAACTCAATTCTTTTTCCAATACCTACACCACCATTATCCGAGGGATGCCACCTGCAATACACCTCCTTCAAACAATGGCAACGGCAAATTCAACCCAAAATTTTTTAAATCAAATTACTCCACAGAAAATACCGACAATTCTAACACTAAAAACAAAACATATAGTCAAAATTCCACCTGCAATTAGGTTGTAGAATTTCATTATAATAAAGTGATCCACAAACAAAAAGACAGGTTCAGTATATATCTCTCCAAGATAACAAATTTGAAAAAAAAAAATTGAAAATAAAATAAAAAATAAAAATCCAGTGACTACTACTAATTTATCGAATACTCGCCGAGATCCTCTATAAACGAGGATCATCAACTCGTCGGATTCCATGTTTGAACGAGACGGTGCGACTGATTTTTTGAACTCCTGAGATCAGTGAGGTGTTTTAAGGTCTGACAACTTAAAAGAGTGAATGTGAAGATGACAACTTTAGCTTCATATGGGAGGTATTTTTTCCCAAATAAAAATATTGTCGAATTGTTATATACTTTGCAACAAGTTCATAAAATTTTGACACTTGAGTTGTTTTATTGATATTATTTTCTTAAATATGAGTTGTATTTTGGAACGTTTGGAGTGTTTCAATAAAAAATTTATAGAACCATAAACTTCTTCAGCTTCTTGCTCATTTGGTATCGGATTGCCGAGGTACCAAAAGCTGGTTCAATTAAGAATGATAATGGAGAATCAAGAGTTCATTTTATTCAGATTTAACAATTTCCGCCAGAGTTGTTTTTGCAACAACACATTCAAAAACAAGTGTATATCTTTTCACGAGACGGACCACAAAAATTGAAAGTAGTTGCATTTTAGTCAATGTAAAGAAAGATGTAATAATTTACTCCATCTTTTCCAAAAAAAAAAAAAAGAAAATACATATCGAGTTTTGAGATTCATTCTCAACGTGCATAATTTTTTTTAGTACAGAGAGTATATTTTTAAAAATTTAGCCTCTTTTTTTTGTACCCAAAAAAATAAAGAAAAATGTACTCACTCCACTAATTAAGTTACATCAACTTAGATAATACAAGAGGTGCTAGTAAATTCATAGTGCTACTAATTAATTTTTTTTTATTTGGTCTCGTGTGATTAATTTTTACTTCGTAGGCTAATTCGACGATTTAGAACATGAAATGGAATGGCAAATTAAGTTATTAAATGTGCCTCATTGATAATGCATACTCTCCGTATTTGTTTTTTTTTTTGTTGAATGTGACTGATGTTAACACTTTTAAGTCAAGTGGTAAGACTTATAGCCGTGTAAAGTAAGATTTGGATTGAAAGTATAGGGTTAAAAATACTAAAAATGTTGTGTTCTTCATTATGTTCCTGTGTAGAAGTCAATAACTCCAACAATAAATCAACACATTACGTAGAAGAAAAAAACACAGACAATATAGTGTCTGCAGATTTGACGTCGCACTATAAATAATTCATCATCTTATTTTCTATATATATATATAGGTAAAGAATGTGATAGCTTAAAGAAGCACACAAGTAAGGAGCTAGAAAATGGACCATTAAACATCCTGCTGCTGATTGTTTGAATCTGATGATCAGACAAGAGTAGAATAATGACAATGGAGAACAAAAGACTTAAATCCCGTCATCACGACGATCCTCAAGATGATGATGGCATGTTTCAGCCTAAACACGCGCCATGGTGGGTAAAAGATCCCTTCAAATCATTCATTATTTTCGCAGTTTTCTTTTCCGGATCTGTTCTGTTCTCTATGTTGAATCATCGATCAATTGACATCAGGATAGTTGGTGGTTTCAATCCTCTCAAAGCAGGTACTACTTCTTTTCATAAATTAGTGGAAAACGTAGGAAATGACATTAGTGAAATATTGACGACCTGCTTTTCTACATTTTTTTTTTTTTACTTTCCTTTGGCTAGATCAGGGAGAAAATCAGCCACGAGAAGTTGCCGCAGAACCTGAAGAATTGGACAATGGATCATCTCTGGCTCCAGGTATGCCATCATCAATCCATGTTCTGTTGTTCTGAATCAAACCTGACGAAACCTAATGAGGTGATTTTCTAGCTTTTAGACTTTCATTAAAGAATGCAGGTATCTAAATCATGTAATTAACCTTAACAATCTTAGTACTTTGGTCGAATGATTAATTGATAAGTTTTCCGGTTTAAATCTCTTCAATTGAACAGATGAAGCCGATGAAGCCGAAGAAAGCATTCCATCGGTTGAGGAACCACATGTTAACGATCTTGGTGGCCTAATTGCTGAAGGATTTGATGAGAAATCATGTCTGAGTAGATATCAGTCACCCTGGAAAAACAAAGGCCAACAACAACATCAACCTTCTCCGCACCTCATCTCTAAATTAAGAAACTACGAAGCTCTCCATCGACGATGCGGGCCTCACACAGAATCTTTCAGAAAAGCCTCGGAGTATATCAACTATAGCATTCACAACAACAACAGCAATCACAGCAGTTCTTCAGACTGCCAGTATATAATCTGGACACCAAAAAATGGGTTAGGAAACCAAATGATGAGTTTGGTTTCTGTTTTCCTTTATGCGCTCCTGACACAGAAAGTCCTCCTTGTTAAACCTCAACCTCACATTTCTGACCTTTTCTGTGAACCATTCCCTGGTACTTCATGGCTGATTCCATCTAGTTTTCCACCAATCAATCTGACCTTTGGTAAGGATTCTCCCAGGACTTACGATTATTATAACCTTAAGTGGGAGAAACCCGGGTCAGTAATTCCGGCCTATGCTTATCTGTACTTAGCCCATGACTGTAATGAAGAGGACGCGCGTTTCTTCTGTGATGAGGATCAGACATTTATCCAAAAAGTACCCTGGCTCATCATAAGATCCAATCAGTATTTTGTGCCTTCTCTTTTTCTGATGCCATCTTTTCAGAAGGAACTCAGCGAGCTGTTTCCGGAGAAAGAAACCGTCTTCCATTTCTCAGGCCGGTATTTATTTCATCCAGTGAACCCTGTTTGGAGTTCTATCACCTCATACTACAAGGCTAATCTAGCAGGAGCAGATGAAAAGATTGGTATCCAAGTTAGAATCTTTAAAACCGATCCTGATCTTTTCGATAAAATTTTGCAACAGATTCTAGCCTGTGTAATCAAGGAGAATGATCTGTTACCTCAAATCATCGACGAGACCAAGAAGCCTGGAACTGATGCATTACACAAATCCAACAGGACTAAAGCTGTCCTAATCACATGTCTTGACGCTAGATACTCGAATGCGATTAGAAAGATGTACGAGGAAAAAACAACTCAGACAGGCGAAATCATTCGGGTTTTCCAGCCAAGCAACGAGATGAGACAAAAGTGTACAGATCTGGTTCATAGTATGAAAGCCCTGACAGATATATATTTGCTAAGCTTGACAGATAAATTGGTGACGAGCTCAATATCGACTTTCGGTTATGTTGCTCAAAGCCTAGGAGGTTTGAAGCCATGGATTCTTCACAGGCCTGAAGAATATAACGCCTCGAATCCAGGTTGTCAACGTGCCGTTTCAATGGAACCATGTTACCTGGCTCCGCCAACGCTGGATTGCAAAACTCGTGGAACGGTCGATAAAGGTAAAATTGTTGGTTATGTAAGGCATTGTGAGGACAGGGCCAAGGGTCTTAAACTGATTGACAAAGATGATGAGCCTTGATGAACATTTTTCATTCAAATGTAATAGCCCTAGCTATTAAAAATATTCATCTGTATGTTGTATTTATGCATTTTATGTACTGTTTTTTGGAAATTCGGTTGCATTCGCCCGCTTGTTGGAATGATACATTGCACTTGTCGCTTATTGGAAACATACAGAAAAAATGACTCGTCTACACAATTTAGTTTTGATAAACATTTTGATACCAAAGTACTTTTCTGTAGCATAGTGCAATTACAGTAATAAGGAGACCTGAACCGGACATTAAGCGTATGTTTGTCACTCATAACGAATTTTCCATCTGGCTTCGAGAGATTATATTTAACCATTGTAGGCTTATAGGCTAGCTAAAAAGTAAATTGATAAAAAAGTGAGAGTTGTTGGAGAAATTTGCCTAATTGAGGTGAGATATAGCCCTGAAAGTTGTGAGGTATTGGTTTGATCTAGTTGTTTGAGGCTGATTTTTCAAATACACTGTACTGGATGAAAACTGGCGATTTAATCGAAGATTGACAATAGGGCACTATGTAGTTAGACCCTCTTCTTGATGGTGTGGTGATACTCCTACATGCTATTCATTTTATATTTTTACTTTTTGGTAAACTCCTATAAGCTATTCATTAATTACTCGAAGATTTACTGTACTGTTGATTAACGAAACTGCCGCTGAACTTTGAATATTTGAAGCATTTCTATAATTTCAGCCGTATATATATGCAATGTGGTTAAACAAACTGGCAAGTAAAAGCTGAAAATTGGATGGAAATGGAGGATGGATATGATCAGAGCAAGAAATGGAGGATGGATATGACCAGCCCAAACAACATGGTGAATGTCAAGATGGTGATATGCGCACTTTGTTTGGTGGGCTTTGTTCTGTTTTCTTCTGTATTAATAAAGGATCGATCAAAAAATGAGATCATCAGGATTGATCGAGATTTCAAGCCTATTAAGAAAGGTAACTTTGTTAGAAAAAAAAAAAAAAAAAGAAATTTGATGCTCTTTTAGCCATTGATCATTTTTGTAGCTTTTATTCCATTTTGTAAGATCAAGGAGAAAATCATCCCGAAGAAGTTGAGGTAGAAAAAGGACAGCATTCATCTCTCTAACTCTGAGTAGATCATCCAGTATTAGTAACTTCATCAATGATTACTAACCATTTTCCTAATGGTATTCATCATTTGTGAACAGATAATCAAGAAGAAAATCGCAGTCGGCTAGTTGAGTTTCAACAGGATAAGTATCTTCGTGGCCTAATTGCCCAAGGATTCGATGAGGAATCTTGTGTCAGTAGATATCAGTCCCTCTGGAAAAACAAAGGGCCACAAGCACATCAACCTTCTCCCCATCTCATCTCTAAACTAAGAAACTATGAAGCACTGCATCGACAATGCGGGCCTAACACGGAATCCTTCAAAAAAGCCTCAGAATATCTTAACTCTAGCATTCACAACAAAACCAGTAATCACAGCAGTTCTTCAGATTGTAGTTATGTCATCTGGACAGCCTGTGACGGTTTAGGAAACCGGATGATGACTTTGGTTTCTGCTTTCCTTTATGCACTTCTGACACAGAAAATTCTCCTGGTGGAACCTAAAAGTAACATTTCCAGCCTTTTCTGCGAACCATTCCCTGGTACTACATGGCAGATTCCATCTAGTTTTCCATCAATCATTAAGAACTTCGGTAAGGACTCTCCCCAGACCTATGATTATATCCTTAAGTGGCAAAAACCCGAGCCAATGATTCCGCCCTATGCTTATATGTACTTAGCCCATGACTACACCGACAAAGATAAGCGCTTCTTCTGTGATGAGGATCAGACATTTATCCAAAAAGTACCCTGGATCATCATAAAATCAAACCTGTATTTTGTTCCTTCACTTTTCCTGATGCCATCTTTTCAAAATGAACTCAACAACCTGTTTCCAGAGAAAGAAACTGTTTTCCATTTCTTGGGCCGGTATTTATTTCATCCAACAAATTCTGTTTGGAGTTCTATCACCACATACTACTGGGCTCACCTGGCAAGAGCAGATGAAAAGATTGGCATCCAAATCCGAACCTTTGAAATCAAAAGTGATCCTTTTGATAAACTTTTACATCAGATTCTAACTTGTGTCATCAGTGAGAATGACCTATTACCAAAAATCAACGGGATGATCAGAAAACCCGAAAATCATGAATCGGCAAAATCCAACAGGACCAAAGCTGTCCTGATGACATCACTTGACGCTAGATACTCCGATGCAATCAAAATGATGTACAAGCTCCATTCAACTCAGACAGGGGAAATCATTCGGGTTTTCCAGCCAAGCAACGAGACGAAACAGAGATTTTCAAATCAGGCTCACGATAGGAAAGCCCTGGCAGAGATGTATCTACTAAGCTTGGCGGATAAACTGGTTACGAGTTCGAAATCAACTTTCGGTTATGTTGCTCAAAGCCTGGGGGGATTGAAGCCATGGATTCTTTACAGTCGTCCACATGAATATAACGCCACGAATTCAGGTTGTCAGCGCGCTCTGTCTATGGAACCCTGTTTCCACGTTCCGCCAACCTTGGATTGCGAAACTGGTAAAAGGGTCGATAAAGGTAAAATTGTTGGTTGTGTAAGGCACTGCGAGGACATGAACAGGACTTCAGGTCTTAAACTTTATGATGAAAGATGAAGACTACCTGACCATTTTCGTGATCAAGTTCCTTGAATACATTAGAATTACGTATTCTCTCCGTCCCGAAATTATTGTCCAGTTTTGATTTGTTATTTCGGTTCAAATTGTAATAAAAATAAAAACTCAAACTGAACAATATTTTGGGACAGAGAATACATCACTGCTCACTCACTCACTTCATTTTTTGTTATTTTATCAAATACGACTCCCGCTGTCCCAAGAAAAAAGTCCACTTTATTGAACTAAAACAATATACCAAAGTGGAATATTTTCCTAACATATTAAAAAAAGAAGGAAGACAATGCAAACAATGAGTTTTAGATTTTCGCCGATTTATCTAAGTAGACCAAACTGTCGACACGAAAAATTTCAACCAAAAGGTTATACCTTTATATTGATACTGATAAATAGAAGACGATTTCAAAATTACAACAGAATTACAAAACACAAAGATTGTGTTTTTCTCATTAAGTTGTGATCATCGTCCAATTTTTTGTCATATTATTGTTCGATATAATCCGTGTCGATTTTTATATCCTTCATGGAATATCGATATGATTATTTGCAGTACCACAATCATAAACATGCAAATTATAAATAAATAAATAAAATGTAAGATCTTGAGCTGAAACGGAATCCTTCAACAGATCCGGGAAGTATCTAACTCTGGCAATGACATGAATTACGCTGAATTCTCCATTTGGTTTCGAGGGATTATTTTTAACAATTGTCATGGACTAGATTAAAACTAGATCAATTAGAAGTGGATTGGTTGTTTCAGACGGATGTTGTAACGTTTCCAAGGCCAAGTGACGTGGGTAATGGAAAATGTAAGATTCTGATTAAAATTAATAGGTTAGGATAGAATGAAATTTTGTGTTCTTCAACTTGCTAAAATTAGCGCGGGATACAGGCAAAATTGGTCCAATTTTTCACTTATCTGTCAAATTTAGTGCTAGAACGGCTAATAGCCAGAGCTAACTGGCAACAATCAAATTTAGTGCTATAAGCTATTTCATTATTTAGTCAAAGATTTACTGTGCTGTTGCTTAACAAAACTGCAACTTAACTTTGAATATTTGAAGAAACACTATAATTTAAGCGGCCAATATAGTTAAAGAAACAGGCAAGTAAAAGCTGAAAATTAAGTTTTCATTAATATGATATCAGAATAAAATAATCTAGGATGCAAATGAGGAATTCAAGACTTCAGTCCGACCGTCATGATGAACGCGAAGATGATATCGTGTCGAGGATTGCGCACGGGCCGTGGTGTGGAAGAAATCCAGTCAAATCAATGGCGATTTTCGCACTTTGCTTGGTTGGCTCTGTTCTGTGTGCTTCTGTACTAATGAAGGATCGGTCAAATAATAAGAACATCAGGATTGTTCGTGATTTCAAGCCTCTTAAGAATGGTAACTATTTTTGGACATGAAATGTGATTTTTTTTTAAGCCATTGATCATTTGGTTTCCTATGTTTTATGCTTTCCATTTTGTTAGATCAGGGAGAAAATCGTACCCAAGAAGCTGTGGTACAAAAGGACAGAAATCTTCCCAAAAAGCTGGACAAAAGATCATCTCCTCTGAGTAGGTTATCATCAATTATGTACCGAAGAATGAATCTGATTCATATAACCATTTTCTTAATTGTTGTCTCTTCATTTTTCAACAGATGGTCAGAAAGATAATCGAAGTCTTCCAGTTGAGGTACAACAGGACAAGTTTCTTGGAGGCCTAATAGCTGAAGGATTTGATGAGAAATCTTGCTTAAGTAGGTATCAGTCACTTTGGAACCAAAAACGAAAGCAAACACGTCGTCCTTCTTCCCATCTAATCTCCAAATTAAGAGACTATGAAGCTCTCCACCAAAGATGCGGACCTCTAACGGACTCCTTCAAGAAAGCCTTGCGGTATCTCAACTCGAACAATCACGAAATTTCGAGCAATTCAACAGATTGTAAATATGTTATCTGGGTGGCCCGAGATGGTTTAGGAAACAGAATGATCACTTTGGTATCTGCTTTCCTTTATGCTATCCTGACACAAAAAGTCCTACTTGTTGATCATAGAACTCACATTTCCGACCTTTTCTGCGAACCATTCCCCGGTACTTCTTGGCTAATTCCATCTGATTTCCCACCGATGATTAAGAGCTTCGATGTGAATTCTCCCAGGACTTATGGTTATTTGCTTAAGTGGAAAAAACTCCGGTCAGTAATTCCTCCCTATCTTTATCTGTACTTGGGCAATAACAATAACGAATACGACAAGCGTTTCTACTGTGATGAGGACCAAACAGTTATCCAGAAAGTACCATGGCTGGTTGTAAAATCAAATGTATATTATATCCCTTCTCTTTTTCTGATGCCATCATTTCAAGAAGAACTCCGGAATCTGTTTCCAGAGAAAGACACTGTTTTTCATTTCTTGGGTAGGTACTTGTTTCATCCAACAAATTCAGTCTGGAAATCCATCACCAGTTATCACAATGCCCATTTGGCAAATGCTGATGAAAGAATTGGCATCCAGATTAGAATCTTCAGGACGAACCCTGATCCGTTTGATCAAATTTTACATCAGATATTAGCCTGTGTAATCAAGGAGAATAATCTATTACCAAAAATCAGTGCAAAGACCAGGAAACCTGGAACTATTCCATCAGGAAAATCCAACAAGACGAAAGCGGTCCTGATGACCTCTCTTGACTCAAGATACTATGATTTAATCGACAGAATGTACGTAGAAGGTTCAACTCTGACAGAGGAAATCATTCGGGTGTACCAACCAAGCAGCGAGTGGAAGCAAAACACCGCGAATCGATCTCACAATATGAAAGCGTGGGAAGAGATGTATCTCCTGAGCTTGACTGACAAATTGGTCACCAGCTCAAAATCGACTTTCGGGTATGTTCCTCAAAGCCTTGGAGGTATGAAGCCCTGGATTCTCTACAGGCCTGAAGAATATAACGCCTCGAACTCAAAGCCAGCCTGTCAGCGAGCCCTGTCAATGGAACCGTGTTTCCAGGCTCCGCCTGCCCTTGATTGCAAAACCGGCGAAAGGGTCGATTTCAGTAAAATTGTTGGTTATGTAAGACACTGTGAGGACATGAACTGGACCGCGGGTCTGAAACTTTATGGAGAAAGTGATGTGCCTAGCTAACTAACTGACCGTTTCAATTTTCACGGTCAGATTCCTTGAATACATTAGAAATTGGATTAAACGGCATTATTGACTCGCACCCATTTTATTTTTTTCAAGAAATGCATTGGAAATTGAGTTTTTGCTTGTGCTATGATCGCCTGCAACATGTTAGAATTGTATATTGTCCTTGTAACATATCCGAAGTGATGCATGAGCACAGATGTAACTATTGAGCTTGACTGATAAAATTGGTCAAGAGTTTAAATTTAAAAATAATAATGATAAAATAAAACGACTTTTCAAATTTTTTTGGTGGCATAAATTTTAATGACTCCAACTTACGTTTTTTCCATTAAGTTTTACATCAACTTAATTAGATGATTCAAAACGTGTTAAATTCATCATAATGCTGCTAAATAAACTTCCCATTTGGCTTTGAGAGATTATTTTCTACTTGGAAAAACTAATTCGACTGGAAGTTGAACTGGAATGGTAAAGAAATATTGCCCAATTGATGATGCATGCTCCGTAATTGATTTGATTTTGTTGAACGAGACTGATTGTAACACTTCCGAGCCAAGTGGCAAGACTTGTGACCGTGAAAAATAATACTCCCTCCGTCGCAAAATTATTGTCCAGTTTGAGATTTCACTTTTAGTATAATATAAAGTAGAAATAAAAACTCAAACTGGACAACAATTATGGGACGGAGGGAGTATTTTGGATTGAAAGTAATGGTAAACACCAAACTTTGTGTGCTTCATAATCTTCCCTAATTTTTGTGTAGAAGTCAATACCTCTTCAACATTAAACTGACACATTACGTGAGAATTATCTACTCCAATTGTACACTTAATCTCATAATTTAACCCTTAGCACCGAATCCAAAATAATGATTTATTTGTATATTTACTTTTATCAAGCAAAAAATAAAAATTCATACAATTATTTCCGAAAGGAGGGAGTAAAGCGGTCAAATTTGACGTCTAATACCAAATTGACAGGCAGTGTTCCTCTTGAGTCTTGATAGTGTCTGGGGAGACCACTATAAGCCATTCATTTTGTTAGTCAAAGAATTACTTTGCTTTGGCCTAATGAAACAGCAACTGAGCTATGAACATTCGACTAAGCACCACAAATTATTCATCTTCTTGTGATTAACTTATAGGAGCTCTTTTTCAAAATAATTAAAAAAAAAAAATTTAGGAGCTAGAGTTGATATTACACAATCCAGCTGCTGATATTTTGACTAATGATCAGACGAGTCGAATGACAAATGGAGAACTCAAGACTTCAATCCCATCATCTCGATGATCCTCAAGATGATGATGATGCCATGTTAAGGCCTAAACAAGCGCCGTGGTGCGGGAGAAATCCAGTCAAGTCATTGGTTATTTTCGCAGTTTTCTTATCGGGATCTGTTCTGTTTTCTGTATTGATGAAAGATCGATCAATTGATCAGAACACCAGGATAGTTCCTGATTTCAAACCTCTCAAAACAGGTACCTCTATTTAGTATGATATGGGGTTTATGTTTCCACATATTTAAGTTCAAGGAAATATATGCCCGATTCTTGGACCTAGAACGATTTTTGGTTATTGATTACTTGGTTTTCTATGTCCGTTACTTTCCTTTGGCTAGATCATCAGGGAGAAAATCATCCCCAAGAAGCTGCCGCGAAATCATCTCCCACTCCGAGTAAGTAATCCATGCTTTATGTCAAACCTGATGAACCTAATCTGATGCTTTTCGTAACTCTGTATTCATTCTTTCAAAAAAGAAATATGCTGGAAAGTAACCCCTGGGCCTTAACAGTTTTTCCGTACTGATTAATTCGGTTTTCTATTTTTCACACTAGATCAGGGAGAAAATAATACCAGAGAAGTTGATGCAAAACCTGAAGAATTGGACAAGAAATCATCTCTGACTCCAAGTAAGGTATCATCAATCCATGTTCTGTATCAAACTTGATGAACCAAATCTGATGTTTTTCATAACTATGCATCACTCTTTCAAGCCGGAAAAATGTAGGAAATGAGATCAGTAACCCCTGGACCTTGATGATTTTTCGTAATCGATTGCGCGCTTCCAATCTTTTATCTTTTTCCTTCTGCTAGATCCGGGAGAAGAAAATCGCCCCCGAGAAGTTGACGCAAAACCTGAAGAATTGGACAAGAGTTCATCTCTTACTCTGAGTAAGTATCAATGATTCTATTGTTCTGTTTCCAACCTGAAGATCCTAATCTCATGGTTTTCATAACTCAGTTTCAATGAGAAATTATAGGAAATCAGATCAATAATATGTGGACCTTAACAATTTTTCCGTTAATGGTTAATCTTATTCTAATGAACAGAGGAAGGAGAAAAACACAATGCATTGGTTGAAGTACAACAGGATAAGTATCTTGGTGGCCTAATTGCCGAAGGATTTGATGAGAAATCATGTCTGAGTAGGTATCAGTCACTCTGGAAAAACAAAGGGCCACAAATACATCGTCCTTCTTCCCATCTCATATCTAAATTAAGAAACTACGAAAAGCTGCATCGACGATGCGGACCTCACACGGAATCTTTCAGAAAAGCCTCACAGGATCTCAACGCCAGTATTCACAACAACAACAACAATTTCAGCATTTCTTCAGATTGTAAGTATGTCATCTGGACTGCCCGGGACGGTTTAGGAAACCGAATGATCACTTTGGTTTCTACTTTCATTTATGCACTCCTGACACAGAAAGTCCTCCTTGTGGAACCTGGAGCTCACATTTCCGACCTTTTCTGTGAACCATTTCCTGGTACTTCCTGGCTGATTCCATCTAATTTTCCACCAATCATTCAGAACTTTGGTAAAGATTCTCCCAAGACTTATGATTATATCCTAAAGTGGGAAAAACCCGGGTCAGTAATTCCGCCCTATATTTATCTGTACTTAGCCCATGACTATACCGAAGAAGACAAGCGCTTCTTCTGTGATGAGGATCAGACATTTATCCAAAAAGTACCCTGGATCATCATAAAATCAAACCTGTATTTTGTTCCTTCTCTTTTCCTGATGCCATCTTTTGAGAAAGAACTCAACAAGCTGTTTCCGAAGAAAGAAACTGTTTTCCATTTCTTGGGCCGGTATTTATTTCATCCAACAAATTCTGTTTGGAGTTCTATCTCCACGTACTACAATGGTTATCTAGCAAGAGCAGATGAAAAGATTGGTATCCAGATTAGAATCTTTAAAACAAATCCTGATCCTTTTGATAAACTATTGGAACAGATTCTCGCTTGTGTAATCAAGGAGAATGATTTACTACCACGAATCAACGGGGAGATGAAAAAAGCCGAAACTCCTGAATTAGCAAAATCCAACAGGACCAAAGCTGCCTTGATGACATCACTTGACTCTAGATACTTTGATGCGATTAAAATGATGTACCAGGAACATTCAACTCAGACAGGGGAAATCATCCGAGTTTTCCAGCCAAGCAACGAGACAAAACAAAGGAGTTCAAACCGGGATCATAATAGGAAAGCCTTGTCAGAGATGTATCTACTGAGTTTGACGGATAAGTTGGTCACGAGCTCAAAATCGACTTTCGGGTATGTTGCTCAAAGTCTTGGAGGTATGAAGCCATGGATTCTTTACAGGCCCGAAGAATATTACGCTTCGAATCCAGGTTGTCAGCGCGCCCTGTCTATGGAACCCTGTTTCCAGGCGCCGCCAACGCTGGATTGTAAAACCAGTAAAAGGGTTGATACAGGTAAAATTGTCGAGTATATAAGGCATTGCGAGGACATGAACTGGACTTGGGGTCTTAAACTTTATGACCAAGATGATGAGCCCTGATCAACATTTTCATGATCAGCTACTCTGAAGTCTCTGATTACATTAGAATCAGATTGGGTTTTTTAAGTGTTGAACCGTATCATTTCCCCTGAGCTTACACTATAAGAAAAATGACTTCTCAACAATATTCTTTGATCTCTCCATTTATGGCCAATTAGTTTTGAGTTTACATGTAAGAAATTGTAGTAAGAGTAACAAAAACATTACAATTCACTGTATAACAAAACACAATAAGGTTCATAAAGTTTGATCTCTATACCCTATATATCAAGTTTGACACAGGTATAATTACATTAGTGTACTCATGGAGCTGATGATCCAGCCACTTGAATTATTATGCATTCTAAACAACTTTGATTTATTGTTTAAACTAACATGGAAGTACAAATTGGTACCAACAACGTCTGCAATACGAAAAAATTGGTAATACTCATTACAATATAGAAATCGTCGAAATTGCGCTCATCTGACAAGTTTATAATGCTTAAAATGAACAGAAAATAGCAAAAAATTATATGTTCATAATGCAAAAGAAAAGGCCCATGACCCATCCCTTCCCAAATGGTATTGGATCCCTGGTTTTAATTTTGATCCCGAACGAGAGCGTCCACGTAATTACAGACGAAATTTCAAGATCCTCATACAAAAAACCGCCATGTCTAGAGCTCCAATAGGACACTTCATTTGGAATCAAAATAACGTACTGATATTTCTCCCTAATAGTATGTTTAATGTACTGATAATCGTATTACCTATAGCAATTCTATGACTACTCTCATAGTTATAGGAATTAATATCCATTGTACTTAATTAAAGCAACATACAAGAATGACACATGTCAGCTCCACGTTAAAAATTTTCCCGCCAAAGGCCTTTTTTAGTATAAAATATAAACTGACACGTGATACTCTAAAATTTCAGAAAAAATTTGGCTTCACTAAACAACAAAAAAAAAAAAGCTAACTATGGTCCGTAAAAATCTAAAGAAGATAATATGGAAATTTTTGCGATTTAAATGTAAATAAGATGATAAGGAAAAACCGTAATAACACTCCCCAATTTTAGCTCCATCATCGAAGTCAATTTGTTTCAGCAATGATCAAATTCCCTATAATAACTTATCTTCAAAATTTGAATCTCACATTTTAATTGTAAGATCAAATCCCTAAAATCACTCTCAATTCTCTTTTCATCGTATCATTCTCAAAATTTCGTCTCATGGTTCAGATCCAAAAAATAATTCCTGTAATCAAATCTCCGCTTCTTCTTATTCTTCTTCAATTAAGCAGAACGGGGACCATAATAGTTCACACCTCATCGTTGATATCATGCAGAAGCAGCGGCATCATAGCATGATTTTTAGGAGGGGTTTTCAGATTTGCGCAGTGACAATATCATAGCATGATTCTTAGGAGGGGTTTTCAGATTTAAGGAGCGACGGCGGTAAACAATAAACAATTTTTTTTTTCTCATCGGGTGTTTCACAAAAGTCTGACCCTCCTGCCGAATCTGATGAATAATCTCCGAAAGCAGAGGGAGCCATGGAAGAAAAATCCACCGCTATAGTTCTCACTGCCTTCAGATCTGAAGGTTAATTTCCTTTTCTTTTTTTTTAAAGCCTTTTTACTGTTTTTGGCATTTAAAATATGGTTTATGAGATGCTAATGTGCCTTAGATTCTAAAGCTAATACAAGAGTAAAGCATCCGACGACCTTGGACGGTAAGCCTGTGGAGTCCAGAATAATGACTCCTATGAAAGGAAGTTCAAGGCGATGGCAGAATATTAGCGCTTTGATTTTTTAAAAGTTTTATTTTTGGCCTCCGTCGTTTCTTCTTTTTGAATCGTAGGGTTCTCTTTCAAACGTAGGGTTGTAAGCAAAAAAAGTTGATGTTTGCTCGATTTTTTTGTATATGTGAAACAGGCTTTCGAGAAAAAAAATTGAGTATACTCAATGAGAGAGATAAAGTACAAAAGTTGGTTCTGAACATCTCCGTCGAAAACAACGAAAATCGGCTCCACAGAGCTGCTAAGGTACATCTGCGCACCCTGTTTATAATTTTCAGTAAAATTTTTTTTGTGGAGCATTGTTCTGGCTTCGTTTATTCAATGAAATATTGGGGAAAAAAATTTAACCTTTACTTTTTTTTGCCTTTTTTTTATACAGGTTTTGGAACAACTTAGTGGCCAAGCCCCTGTTTTCTCTAAGGGTATGTTCCCGACTGAACTAATTTATTTGTTATAGATTCATCCCTTATGCTCTAGCCCTGACATTATGATTTAATTTTGTGTTTTTAATTTGAGTAACAGAAGTAAATCTTTAGTGGAAACTGTTGGATTATTGTTTGACTACTTGCAACCATCTAAATTTATAGTGGTTTAGAAAATGCTCTTTGTACGAGAAAGAACACTTATGGTAAGACCTCGGTCATTTTTCATCCGCCATCTTTATTTGTTAATTGCATATTTGTTATTGATGCAGTTTGTGGTTCGTTCTTTGTTTTGTACGGGAAAAACCTGTAAGAAGCAAACAAATAAGTAATCAAACAAAGTGGCCAACTTTGAACTTTTGGCTGTCCATGAGTATTTTGTGGATAAAGTACCATTCATTCAGCCTGAATTAATTTTGGATGGGAATTATGTATTGGTGCATGTTTTCATTTTACTATATGAAGTAAATTATTTTGATTCTTGAAGTAGTTTAATTATTTTCTGTATGAAGATAAATTAAGTAAGTTTTATTCGTGAAGTTTGTACTTTTGTTTTTTTTTTCTTTTGGCATACAATAGTGCTATATATTGAAAGATTTGATTCGGTTCCTTTTCAATCTATTGTTTTATTGATTTTTTTGGCGATCTCATCTTTGATTCATGTTTAATGCGTACCGATTATTGATTCATGTTTATTAAGTATAGGGCAATAGACAAGCTCCTATGCACTCCACCGGCAATATGAATTGTATTTTGCGATGGAGAAATATGCTTTTCGCTCTAAATCTCTTTTGTGTTTTTGTTGGATCAGTTGCAGGAAAATTAGGACAGTGGAGGACATATTTGACGCATGACTTTGGTTCCTATGTCCCAAACCTCTGCTAATTCATATTAGTCTTGCTGCCACGGATTCGATTAGATCCGGTAAGTAGCTATTGATTCTTTGTCTGTGTACGTAAGTTGTCATTTTTGCTTCCTGCTCATATGTTCCAGGTGTGTTTTGCATGATTCTTTTTCGAATTTAGTGGCTTCATATGGAACTTATTATAGCCACAAAAAAAGCTGCAACCTTTGTCTAAGGAAGAAAAATATTAAATTTTAAATTTTTTGACTTTGCAGATTGAAAAAGTTCTTTGATTGATTAAAATCATGGTTTTGCATATTTATGTTTGTATAATTAAACTTCTACTTATTCTGCTGTGAGTTTGGGATTGTCAGGGTAAATCTTTTCTTCTGTAGTTAAAAAAGTTTGAACTTGTAAACAGCAACTTCTATCTTTTGTTGAGATTTAAGCTTTCATCAACTTTGGCCACTTTGAATTGGTCCAACTTTGCATATTTAGCGTTGAAATACTTACAGTTTTTGAATGGATTTGGAAGCTCTATGGATTACTGCTTAACTTTTTGGTTTCTGAATTTACTGATTAAATGGTATGTAATTAACTAGATTTTCGATTCTGTAGCATATGACGGTAGCCGAAAGTCAGTTATATTGCATGCAATGGCCTTTGCACATAGAAGGATTTGATTTTGGTATAGTTTGCAAACAGAAAAGCAGACCAACTGCCTTTTTTTCACCCAAAAAAGAAAGAAGATCCTGGTCTCGGAGCCCTTCAACATCATTTTAATGATGAAAACAATACAAAGCAACCGAGTATCAACTTTCGAGACTTCTCAGTTTGAAGAAGTCATTAACTTACATTTTCTATTTGATAGATCCTACACTGTTTGGTAGTGATTTTCACATGCATCATGTTCCTTATATCAAATGTCAACTCCGATGCTTTGATTAGACGATCAATTTCATTGATGTAAACATATAATACAAATAAAAAAAAAAATCTAAATAGTAATGTTGATCGTGGATTTATTGATATTTGCTATTCAATATTCCAACGAGTAAATAGATATGTGAACATAAAAATGTAATTTAAGTAGTAGTGTTGACCGTGGCAGGAATTTTCGGTGATGGAAATGAGTGGTTGCACTTCTTTTACAATTTTGAACCACCTTTGGTCTGTAGTCTTATACAAACAAACCTTTTTTTCTTTTTTCTTTTTTGGGGGTTGAATACAATTGAGCCTTCCTCTCACACGAATGTATAACTTAGCTCTTAAATCATGTTTTTATTGTTATTTTGCTGAAAAAAAAAATTTATTTCATAAAGTAACTGTCCAGCCTTTTGGCTGTCCAAGCATCTAGTAATCACATTAAGAACTTAGGCTACCCCCAAGGGAAAGCACCAAATCACTGCAACAAAAAATACCATAACAAAAAACAAGCCCAACGCTGGTGCTATTCATAAAACAAAATGAGTGCTCATAAACAGTAAGCATATATATTTGGTGCCTAAATTTTTCTTTTTTATTTCTTTAACTTTTAGTTAATTTGTGTAACTTATACTCCCTTCATCCCATAATTATTGTCCACTTTGCCCAAAAAATTTTGTCCTAAAATTATTGTCCAATTTGACTTTTTATGGATCAAGTTACACATTTGTCCTTAGTAAAAAACATTATCCATAAAATCTTAGTGATTAAACAATTACTTATGTAGGGGTATATCCGGTTGTTTAATGTAAAATATAGTTAAGTTTAACCAAAAATAAAATCTTTCATTTTAGTAAAACTGGACAATAATTATGAGACGGAGGGAGTAAAAAAGTTTTTGTAAATTGAATAATGTGTAATTTATAACTATCATGTACATTTGTAAAATTATTAAATTTATAAATCTAAATTTAACTGATTTAATTGATCTCATATGTATGATTCAATGTGTAATTTATAACCT